TCCGACTGTGTGACCTTGGAGACTGGTCAGCAGGTTGCAAACTGTGCGGCTGGTTTTAGATGCTAGTAGCGGCGTATTCACATTGCTACATGTGACTGCTTTCTTCTGTTTCCGGAAATAAAGTAGGTAAATGTTATGAAAAGTTCGCAGTTTACTTCCTATCATCCGTATTAGATTTTTTCCGTGTCTTTTACTTCCATTTTACTCCCTATTTATTCAACTTTTCCATATCATTAGTTTATTCTACGCCTTACCAAATCTCACCAAGATTTCCGTTTCTTTTTTATCGTTTCATTTTTCTTTACTTTATCTGATGCCTATCTTTGCTTTATCTTTTAAACCCTTCAGGTGTGCCACAGCTACAATAGTCTGGTGCCTGAATCTACTACATTGAAATCCACCAGAGACGTGGAGCAGTTCCCGTGAGCCCGGATACCATATGTTGGATATTGGCTACATATGTTATTTGAATGCTTCTCAACTCGGAATTGATATATACCGGGAGCAAAACATTTTCACCAACAAGTGGGACAGCTTTTAAGACTTCAACTCCTCCCAGCAGTTTCTTAAAACAACACTACCTATTTAGTGGCTGCTACGGGAACGAACGCAATATGACGTGATTGTTTATGGTACCAAACGTTTAGGCTACCCTAAGGCATTGAACAAATGATCAAAATGTCACAGCCCATTCCTGCATTCTTCATAGCTTGCTTAAACGTCACTGGAGTGTTTGTAATAGATATGGCTCAGCGTTTTCACCACGTATCTACACACGTGTTTATTAAATTAGACTCCACGTCAATGTGTGGAAATTCAGACTCTTTAATGAAGACTTTCTTAGGCACTGGGAAAGAAAGTCAATGTATCCTCACTATTGCACACAGAGTACAAAATCGAAATATGAGAATCCAACCTGCATGGCTTCTAAAGGATACGACTAAGAAAAAATGCTGTGGCTGAATTAATAACCTAGTTAGAAAAGGGCAAATTATAAAACACTGGGTACTCGCGCGGTGAAACCTCTGCAGTCAATGTCATCGAGATTGCTGTTCGTAGGTTGTATGGTCTATCTGGTCGCAGGAATGTTACGCTGACTCCTATAGCTTTATAAATAAATTTGAGTTGGGGGCTTAGTCGAAGGTTAAGAACGTGAGGTGTAGCAATCAAGCAAACATGATTACTGTAAGGATAAGTTCACATACATCCATCGAATCCGAAAAAGTTGCTGATATCCACTGATCTTTTCTAACCACGTAAAAGTTGGCCATGGTCTCGAACGCTGTCTTACCCACCGCTGAGTCGGAGTCAGTCGACACGATGTTAGAAAGTGTCTGTCTGAATGTCTAACGTTTGTGCTTACCAGTAAAAATATGTTTGACTGAGCACACTTGTAACCGACGATCGTCTTTTTCTTTTCGTTCTGTTGGGATTTCGAAAGTGCTACTAAAGCCCTTTCTGTTAAACGTTTTCAAGGATGGTTACAAACAAATGGTTGCTGATTGTCCCCCTGTTAGCCTACTCAGCATAGTCATTAACGCTTTCAAGAAGATCATCCGTGATGTGACAGCAATATGGTTACCAGAGTGTGGCAACTCGGACCGTTACGCAGTAATGCCTGGTCCTATGTTGATAATGATGATGATGGTTACCAGACAGTTTAGTTCTTAGGACTTTTCCTACTCTGTTTTAACGAACTATAGGAAATGCTGAATTCCTAGGTGCTCTTATTTGTCCGTGATGTAAAAGTCGGAGAGTCATACTGTGACGATAAGTATCCGCTTTAAGTGGACTTGGATGAACTCGTAGGTTGGTCCAAACGTAAGTGCCTAGAAATTAAATCCAGCAAAAGCGCAATAGTGGATGGTAATTGCTTTCATTATTACGTTAACGGTAAACCACTAACCCCATCTTTGGAACAAAGACACTCAGGTATCATCATAAGTCGTGATCTGACAAAGCCCGGTCAATTCAATGCAGAAAAAGGCTTTAGTTTGTTATGGTCTCTGTACAGAACGTTTCGAAAACTTTGATCGGGATGTGTTCAGGATACTTTGTCCTACATAAGTAAGACCTGACTTAGAGCACTGCATTCATGCAGCCAGTCCATGTCTAAAAAACGGTAGCGATTTACTTGAGTGTTCAAAGTATAGGTACCGGGATAGTAACTGGCTTTTTGAATCTGTCCTGTGAAGAAACTCTAGATCGATTGGATCTGTTCCCACTGCCTTACTGCAGGAGAAGGGTTGGTCTCATACTGGCATCCCTAACAATGACATCGGTGCTGATATCTCTCATCTTTTCTGCCTTGCTTGAACTGCTTATCTTCGAGGTCATCACAAGTAGATTTATTAATCGTGGTCGAGTCAACTTAGCGTCAGACAGACAGGCGGAGATACTCATCAGTATGCTATTAAAGAGGACGGTAGATAAGCAAATGGTAAACACATTTACTAAGAAACTAAGTCTTCACATTGTTATTTATTGCAAGGATTAAAACAGTCCACTCGAGCCTCTCATTATTACTGAAGACCTTATTGAAAATAACGGTATGAGCCGTTTTGTCCCCAGACTGAATTTTTCAAACATATAAGGTAGATTAAATTTATCATTCTTAGTTATTGGTAACGGCCAGGGAAAAGAATACTTTTCTAATACTGCCTTTCCCGAAATGAACCACACAAAAGAGCCAACGCTGTCAGTTTGCAACCTACAGTCCTGTAGAAAACTGCACAAAACAATATAAAGCTGTAAATATTAAGATTGTCTGACACAATATTGTTTTATAGTTTTCTCATCAAAGGAGACAGCTGCCTCTTTTTAAGTTGTTTCTAAGAGGTTGAATAAACACGCCAGCTTGTGTGGTTTCTCCAAATTACACCCGAAACTACTAAGCTCTATTTATCTACTTTATTTCTCTCCTTACCCTCCTTTATTTCTTTCATTCTGTCTATTTTTATCATCGTCCTAATTCTCTTCTTTTGTTTACTGTATTGTTGGACACTGGACACCTCTAGATCTTGGGTTAGTCACGCAAATGCGTTTCTTCTTAGCTTCTCTACACACTACAAAAGCAGGTTTCTACGCACACAATCTTCTTCAGGGCTAACGACAATAAATTGTGAGGACCTCAATCGCTTATTGAAAAAGTTAAGCAGCATAAAAACAGAATCTCAAAACTTCGAAAAATTCAAAAAAAATATTGGTTTCCTATACTTGGATAATTGAAGATACCGCACCAACAACAACAACAAACTCCAGTCACCATCAACGGGAGAAACTTAAAGGAAGTAACCTCCTTCACCTATCTAGGCAACACTGTTTCAAGTACACGCGGCACAGACGAGGATGTCAAAGTCAGGATAGGAAAGACAGCAAGACAGGCGTTCATTAGCCTGAAACCAGTGTGGAGATCTTCTGCACTCAGCATGTGGAACAAGATGCGGATTTCCAACACCAACGTCAAGTCAGTGCTTCTGTATGATGGTTCAGAGACTTGGCGCGTTACGAAAGGCATTTCCAATAAACTACAGACATCCATCAACTGCCTACGCTGGCTGGTTACTGAAGCTCAGATGGCGAGAAAGAATAAGTAACAAGGAACTCTGGCTGGTGACGAACCAACCAAGAACCTATCACGCAACAAATATGCAGAAGGAAGTTGAGATGGATTGGGCATCCACTGAGAAGGCCGACTGGGGACATCACGCGTCAGGCCGTTGAGTGGAATCCCGATGGGAAGCGACGAGTTGGGTGTCCGTGGTGAGGGTGACATGGAGGAGGTCGTGCGAGGAGGGAATGAGAGCTTCTGGGCTGTCGTGGAACCAGGTTCAAAAGATCTCAGAGAACAGAGTTCACTGGAGACGTGCTACTGAAGCCCTATATTCCACTAGGAACACAAGGGACTAATAATAATAATACTTGGATAATTAGTGTCAGTATAATGTAGGCTCTTGTGACAAGGTAAAGAAAGGACTTTTTATGCGTATACGCTTTTCATCACATATGTAGTCTTGGAATGTCCTTACTAATTATCGTCTATTTATCCTATCTACTCTCACATACTTTTGTTTGCTTTTGTGTCATTCGTTTTCGACCCACCTGTTCTTTGCATGGTTCTGTAAAGTGTGGCCTCTTGAACCTATACACTTGTGAGCCAAGTTCCACGTTTATCTGTTTGTCTGTGTTTCTTCTTGCTTGTATTTGAAAGAAAGAAGCTTCGTTTAAGTTCATAAATTATCGTTTTATGTGTGTAGAGTCAGTGGGATATTGTGAGACTCATTTATGTCACGGCTTCCAGGATATATTTGCGTACATAAATTAAAAATTCACGTCGTTTGTGCGTATTCCTTGCGGTGGTGTCTTTCCATAGTGCTAAGCACATACATATTTATTAGCCACATACCTCTAGGTGTACGACTCAGATTTCTGTTGTCGTTAGTTTATCTAACCACACATCGTACATCTGACTCATCGAGAACTTGAAAACGAAATACTGAAATGCACTCAGTAACCCTGTGCACATCCGTGCAATAGGTAATGAGCCACACCTATTGTGTGGAAGCTAATGATATTACTTGATTGTCCAAACCTCGATAATTGGAGCGGCATTTGAACCCCGTAACCCATTGGTAAACCCCAGCTCCACTGATCGAGAACTAGGAACTTGTAGTCTCGTTACTGAATCGTTTCTAGGTTCTAAACAGAAGTCTGTTTCACACCTCACAAAATTAATTTGCAAACTATGATATTTAATATAGACCGCTGGAAATCAAAAAGTTCGTGAAGTCATAAGTCTTGTTTTGATGATTTTTTTTCACTTGCTTGTGTATATTTTTAACTGTCGCCTGTCACTTCTTTTACTACACTTGAATGCGTTTTGTTGACTTATGAAGGCATCTACTCATACCCTTTTGTTTTCTTCAGATACTCGCGTACATATTTCTGCATGTACATCTAAGAACAACATACGTCTAACCTTCAGAAAAACCTATCAAACTATGGTTTGTCTGCTGGAAAATGTACTGCCCATTTTGTCACTGTAATGCTCTTAGGTTATCATAGTTACTGAGAATGATAATATCAAGCATAATTTGGCCTCTGTGTCCAAACATTTCAGTGTTTCACATTTTATACTACAGTTGGACCCCGCCAAACTTATGGATGAACAATTTATCGCCGGATTTTGTCGACGAGGTAATTTAAGTTACTTTTGTGTGACTCTCTGTGTGTAGTATTACTGGTAAATGACAATGTTTAAATTGATCCTTATCAACTTATCCAGAATATGAGAAACCAGAAAGTCTTGTTGGCATACAGTCTCATACATAATTTGTATAAGTGTGGCAAAAATAAAAGCCGTCATTCGAAAACACTCTTGTTTGTTTCTTTAGTGCCCTCACTATGACTGTGCATAAATACACTCCTTCATAGACGAATTTAATCAGCTTATTGCTGAACTAGTCTGTACAACCACAATTATAGTGGAATTTGTTGGTTTCGAAGAACACAGGGAGGATATTTGGTTTTGGTATTGAATGCTCTTCCTTCAGCTTTTGGTTCTAATTGTTAATTGCATAATTCCTACTTTAATAGTATCTACCTTCATATTTCTTTGTTCGATTATCTGAAGTTACATGGTAAACAGATCTCTTCAGCTTTGTATTTTTGTTTTAGTGGGTGTCTTATTGGTAATCGATTTCGGTAACTGGTTGCATTCACATATTTTTCTGTGTATATTTTTAAGCTGAGAACTGATGGAATGTAGTCACTCATTATATTTGTTTATTTAGTTTGGCAGATGGTGCTAATGTATGAATGGAGTTCAAGCAGGCACCCCAATAAGAACACCAACTTTCCACTGATCCTCTCATACTACGGCTTATAAAGATATGATCCAGCTGTGTGTACAGTTGGCTTGATTTTGACAGAAACCAAGTCAGACAGTGTCGCTTATATGTTTAAGTCTATTCCTGACTAAGAACAAAATTGTAGCAGATCACCGTTGCGGTTCATTGACAAAATTCCATACTTTTCTCATTGACTTAGTTTATCTACTTCGGCAGTGAAACTGCCCACTAGCATTAATTCATCTTAAACGCTTTGCTGTAGGTAATAAAACAGAACTTTCAGTGAAAATCAGCCTTTGCATTGTCCGAACTGCAATCGATAGGCGCATAGGTAGAGAACACAAATCGTCATCAATGGGTTTTATCATCTTTTCTAGTTCCTACAGAATCATTTGACTGAACTAGACGAAGACAGTTATCGACCTGTGTCTAGTCAAGGAGAGCGCTTTCTGCCCTAGAAAATAGTGCTATGTCAATGTAAACTAGCCACTGTCTCCGGAGACTCTTGAGGTCAATTTTGTTGATTAACTGTGATGACTATAAAATCAAATGAATAACCAAACTTCAGTCTCTTGTGGGCATTTCAGAAACGGCAGATATCAGTGGTTAAAATACTGGATTTTCGGTAGCGAAACCCATTATCCCATTTAACACTGGCTATGGACGTTAAAAGCATGAATCCAATTTGAGCGGCGTGGTTTCAGGAAACTCGGAAGAGTGTTTTGATGACTTCGATTGTTTGCAGTGTTTTTAGAGTTCGAAATTATAAACATCGTAAGGGGCGTAACGTTGCCAATGAGAAAAATTAGTCAAGTTGTAGGGAGGGACCAATTTAAGAAGGGTTTGTGTTGTTTATTGAGACTTTATATTCTGTTGGAAATATAGATGTGATTAGTACTTCACGGCTTCACTTGCAGTTAAAAGTTACTTCCTGAAATTTTTGAGGAGAAAATGCATTAGTGGTGTTAGACCGAAAATCCCCAGGCGTTCCTGTATCAAGATGATTTTTTTTGCAGTCAGTCAGTTTAAACATGGGACTTGGTATTACTGCGTATTTGTTCAGGTTGTCATGCCTCATATCATAACATCAAAATATAAAGCAACAAGGTGAAAGAGAGGAATCAACACACAGCAGCCTGAAGCCGTGAAAAGCCAAACGAAGAGTAGGTTAATCAAGAAATAAAATGTCATGCAACTGTTGGGACAAGGAGTTGTCGTTTTTTCTAAGAGTTGCATTCTAATTACTACTTATTGCTGACATACTTGTAGTTCTCCGTCGAATTTGGCATATGGACATATGTGCATCCTTATTTGGAGAACGTTTCTATGGAATGCCGAAGGATAAGACAGAAAGTGCAATTCTATGCTGAACTGTTTTAACCCCTTACCAGGGTGAAAAGACAACGTAATTGTAATTATCGCTCGAAAAAAGTACATTGCTGACGTCACACCTCAACCAGTAGTATGGCTTCGTGGGTTACCTAAAAAGTGTCTTGTGTTCCACGGTCAGTTAACACCGATCCACCTAACGAAGCATAGTTGCGTTAGAAACTTCAAGTACTAGGGCGCCATAAGGCAGCCAACCCAGACAACTTAGCCTCAGCTTTTTTAAGGATGTGGGTGAGATTGAAATCAGAAAACCAACTGCATCATTTGTAAAGGTATAACAGATTGACAGTGTTCTATTACTTTGGAATGAAGCCCTTGTGGTACCCGTCCTTAAAAATGTGTGCGTAATGTATTTGATAGTGGTCGGAAAATTGTTAGCTGCCATCATACTTCGTGAGGTTGTGCAAAACTCTCGAGGTACTGGTCAGCTTTCATTCAGGTCGTGGGTGCACTGATCACATATCCGCCCTCCGCCAGAAGGTCAAATACCGTCAAGCGTATTGCAGGCCAACAATCGTTGCATTCCTCGATATTACAATTGTATTCGATTTGCTTCACTCTAGAATTGTCTGTTAAAGAAGGGGTGTCTCTGAGAAGCTTGTCAATATATATATATATATATATATATATATATATATATATATATATATATATATATATATATATATAGCCACCTGTCACCACAATTTCAAATCAAAAATAGGATTGGGAAGAGCTGCATCATTCTTTGAATTCGCTATCGATAATATTCTAAACACAGGGTGTCAAATTCAACGCAGAACCTCGCACACAAGTTCATCGGTTCAAGTTGTCACACTTCACGGTTGTATACAAAGAACAAGTGGATAGGAAAGACTAATATCAAAGTAGACAGCTGTATGAAGGGAGAGGGAATTTAAAATCAAGTTTAATCAAAACATTCCAGCTTTAGAAGACACCAAAGAATGAATACATCTGTGCCACTGTGACCAATTTTCAGCCACCTCACCAAGAGTCCTCTCGTCTCGAGGACCCCAGTCAGGCAGTGTATACCTACATACCACGGTTCAGAACAAGGGTCAGAGACTTCAAGCACTAGCCCCACCTCTTGTCCTAGCAACCCTGAACCCTCTTCCAACATAATCCAACTTATCCTAGCATGGCACGTAGAGGTAGGCGGTGACTCAGCATGCGGTGTGTATGTTCGAGCCATCTGAGTCTATGAAGGTCGACGATCTCATCGACTGACTTGCCTAGTACCCTTCACCTGGTCTCTACATTGCTTACGTGGTAATCCCACCATAAGCAAGCAATGCTACGAAGACACCTGTGGTGGATAATGTATAATCCTTTCATATCTTCTACTGTTGATGTTTATGTCTCACAGCCGTGTACCAAAACAGAAAGAACTAGCGCAGCACACTCGTCCTTTATATGAGATTGTCGGATATCTTGGCAGTTAGCGCCACAGATGACCCAAGTTGTCAACTTCCAGACAAGCCATCTTTATCCAAGCTGAGATTTCGTTAGCGACCAGCCCGTTTGCGATGATGCAACTTCCCAAGTAAGTAAAGTGGCCAACGCATTCCACCACTTCACTCCGTATCATGAAACTGGAAGTATTTGCAGATGACTTTTGAAACATAATCTCGCTTTCGACAGGTGTGAAACGCATGTCAAACTTACACAGGTCTTTCCCTAAGGGGGTCACAAGACTTCACTTCGTCAACCTCTTCACCTAGCAGGAAAATGTTGTCTTCATACTCCAAGTCGATCACACGCTCTTCACGAAGTAGACCGATCTATATGAAGTCAGATGCACCTAAAGTTATGTTTATTAGTACGTCTACAACGAAGTTAAATTGAAACGGTGATAGTGAGCATCCGTGGCCGACCACTAGTTGTTGTCAATTCAAAGGACAACTCTCCATAAATCCCTGACACGACTGCGTGAGTTTGAGTAGAGGTATGCTAGACATTATATACTTGCTCGGTAGTCCCTTTACAGTCAGACACTGCCACAACACCTCACGGTCGACAGTCGAATGCCACCTTCAGGCCAGGAAATATGGCAAGTGTCGGTATCCGGCCGGTGGGTATTCCTGTGTCTCAGAACCTGTCGGAGGGTGAAAATCTAATCAATGTACTCTCGTCTAAGCCTGATTTCCTACAGTTTGTTGTTTTCCGGCTCCAGTTATGTGCCAGATAACTATGGATTCTAGGACCTTGGATACAATATTAGTCAAACTGATTCCCCTATGGTTTTCATAGGAAGATAGCTCTGAAGGAACTACGTTGTAGTGGTTTTATGCGAACGAAATCGTTTTACTGTGTGACAAAATACAGGCTGCTCAAAGCACACTCGGTCAGTTAGCCAGTGTCCGTGAGCACAGTATGTGCTTTGCTCCGTAGAAGTGCTTCTACAAGACTGGTAAGAGTCTGAACTCATTGTTGGTAGTGAATTCCTGGAAGTTATCAAATAGTTTGTTTGCCTGGGTATTTATATGAGTGTTGGTGTATTTATAACTGTTAAAAGTTTGAATCGTATACTGAGAGCCAAAGTGACATTCACCGAGCTGGGCCACCTTTTGCACTGTCTTCATACTAACCTCGTTGTCAAGTTTCGTGTATAAAACGCGTCGGTATGGGTAGTTTCGCTCTATACTCGTGAAAATAGACCTTTTTGAGCTGAAGATGCTCGATAATTTTGCGTTTTCGATCACTGTTGTCTCCAAAGGACTACTGGCACCATGTATAAATAACATATAAGTAATTCTAAAGCTAGTCGGTATGTGTTTGAGTGTCGTAGAGATTGTCATTCACTGAATCTGTTCATCTTGAGACATTGACCTCACTGTACTGAACATGTGCTACCCATGTCATCCAAGCGGCTCTCACACCGGTCACTGTTCAATTTCTTTGACACTAATTGAAAAAAGTGGAGAAGTGGTCAGTGAACGATATGACATCGTGAGATCATGTATGGCTGTGTCGAGTTAGCACCTGTGGGTGCTTCACGACTTCCTGAATGGAGTCTGAGAGGTCATCCAACTCAGTGTCTTGCGACAACGGCAGACATTGCTCAAAATCGAAACCACTGGCAATCATTCTGCAGTTTTATTGCCTCCTTTATCACTGAAAAGTAAAATAATAGCGGTGAATGCCATTTGAGACGTATCCTCAAAACTGCTGCTTTAGTAACCCATTTTTGTTTTCGTCCTCTTCGGTTTTCTGTGTCTTCGTCATGTTACTTCATTATTTCGTTTGGCACCCATTTTTTGTCAAATTTTTGTTCGAATAAATAAAGTGTAACATCGTGAGCTATTAACACTATCATATTGTGTTTTTCGTCGTATCACTATGCAGCTGACTTTTCCACCCTGGTGGAAACTCAAGAAAAAATTGTTCCAGCCAGTGCTACCTATGAACGAAAACGCTTTATGCTTTACTAGCTGCTTCAGACTTTTGAACACTATGCTTACCAATTTCAGAATCAATTTCCAACTCTCAATGAGCTGTTTCCCACTAATCCATTAAAGTATTGTATCAAACGAATAGTGATCAGAGCTTCCTTTGCAAATGTTATTTAAAGCTTTATCTCAGAAAAGCATCTTGGGAGTTTTAGAAGGTACATCCTCAGCAGCTGGTACTTCAACGTACTGTGTGATAAGTATATGTAGCGAATTTACCTGTGGAAGATATAAATGCATAGGTCTCCTACTTGTTTAAGCTGGAAATTAATGTTTTTCATGTTTCCCCTTTTGTAATCTTTTAGGCTTTGTTACAGTTCTACCATTGAAGCCATTACCAGATTTTAGACTGTCTATTGAGAAGTGTAAGTTCTTTTATTTGATTATTGAAGTGCTGACACGGTGCTTACAGTATTGAGTGTCAAATGTCTAGAATACCTATCTCCCCATCTCCGAATAATCTTGTTCTGATGATGAATGTCCTGAAGATCGTATAGTGAAGGTTCCAAAAAACAGAAGAAAACCCCAAGTTACGAATAAGTTATGAGACTTTGATGGTAGTTAAAAAGTTCGATCATCCCGATAGTTGTATAAGTGCTGGTAGAGGTGTGATTGATAAAATTTCTAGCTACAGCTGTACACGCCAAACTCGGTCATCTTCCGCACCCACTTGGCGTTAGCCTGGCTTTCAAAGGTTCATTGTGCTAGTCAGTGTGGAAGGTTCTGCTCTACGTCTGTGACACGGTGTTTTTGAGCTGAGAATATCTGATATCTCTCCACGCTCCACCAGCATTTTCTCCAAAGAGTTGTGTAGAAAATCTTCACATGACATCATTGAACACAGATGTAACAGAGAAGGAGATTTTTCTGACGATTTCATTTACCAAAGCCTTACAACCGTATTCAAAATTATTGGAAACAAATAACAGTCTATAGTTAATCAATAGGGATATTTGATTACTATAATGCTCATTAACAGGATAGAAAGTTGGTATTGTTTCCATTGACTTACCTTTTGTAAAACTGTATTTGGCTGAATAATAGATTAAGGACATCATTTTTAAGAGAGGCCAGAAAACAATCGGCTAAAAGTGGACCAAAAGAGGTCCCTATTATCCGGAAATTGATAACATACCTTAAAGGTTATATATTTCACGCTTACTAATTTTGCCGACTTCACCGGACACAAACAATTATTTGGAGAAAATATTAGTGGGGCGTGGAGAGATATCAGATATTCTCAGCTCAAAAACACCGTGTCACAGACGTAGAGCAGAACCTTCCACACTGACTAGCACAATGAACCTTTGAAAGCCAGGCTAACGCCAAGTGGGTGCGGAAGATGACCGAGTTTGGCGTGTACAGCTGTAGCTAGAAATTTTATCAATCACACCTCTACCAGCACTTATACAACTATCGGGATGATCGAACTTTTTAACTACCATCGAAGTCTCATCATTAAGGACGTGTACAAGTACAGATTCCTCCTGATCCTAATAAAGCAGTTTGTCAGTGCAATGCACAACCCATATTTGCGAGCCCTGACCTCCGACTGATTGAGTGTGATTTGGTTAACTTGTATACTGTCGCACTGGAAAGCCATAGCATGTGTGAATTTAGCGTCAAGAAATCTTTCTGCCAATAACAATTGTACACCACCACTAACCTTTCTCTAAGCAGTCCCACGATTGTCATTGATAATAAAGTTAAATCAAAATAGTTATATCGGACTACACTACCGAACGCAACTACCAGTATAGAGTAGTAAAGGTGGATGGCTGTATACCTTCTCTCTACGTTTATTGTTTTTGTAAAGGGCTCTTAAGATGTTTACTTACTATCCAGACAACCGTATAATCCAGAAACAACAATTGTTGGTCTTCTGTACGATGTCTAAGTATTCGACAGACTGTAGTTACCTGATCATTGTATTCACGGCCTAAATAAACTCTATCTACCCGTTGTTATTATTTTTATGGCGTATTTTGAATAGCCTGCAAAGTATGGTATCAGCTAATAATTTAGATGTGACTGGAGGTATATCGATACTCAGACGATTGTCACACAACTTAAACCCTTGTTTAATGGCGTTACAGTAATGGCCTCTCGCTATAATGATAAAATACTCAGTCTATCTTACATTGTCAACTATCTTAATAACTTTAGTGGCTTAATTTGTCTCATTCTGAAAAGAGTCAGGCATATGTAGTCTGGGATGGATGCCTTATAAAACTGTAGTACTTAGAGTTCTTTCAGAACCTTCAGTTCGTTAGGTGGACTAGTGTTAACTGATCATAGAGCGCAGTGCTTTAGGGACGGTTTCGTTGGAGCATTTATACAGCTAAGTTGCTTTTCAAAAGGTTTATACTGCATTTAACGCGTCGTTGCAGGTTATTCGTCCGCATACTACCTATCTCACACACTCACTACCACTAAAATTCTTGTTGCCAGTCACTCGGAGGAACAGCTCGCTATATTCAAATCCAGCGACTAATTCCGTCCTACTTGAGCTTTCTGACTATTGAGTTTTAGGGTTCTTATTTAAGTGATGTATGATTTTTAGCATAGAGAACTAGTCCATATTCACACTTAAAGAGACCAACCGGGTCCAGTGAGCTTCAAGAAACTGTCAGAGACCAGCTGCTTGTTTTTCAAAGCTGATAGCAAATTTATTTGCCATTCTAATAGTACCTTGCAGGTGCAGCGAATGCTCGTCTATACTTTCGTCAGGTTCGATAGAGTTTGAAATTTAGCTGGGTTCTTAACTTTTCGTGATATCAGATACAATTTTTTACGCCACCCTGTTTAAGACGATAATCTTGATAGCTACCAAAGTGCGGTTTGATCCCAAGCAAGTACTCCAAAACGAAAAACGATCTTGAATACACCTACGCCTCTGGTACAACATAATTCAACTCTATCCCGTGCAGGTTGTACTAGGCTCTTCGGTCGTTTTTATTGTGTGACGATTTATCATTATTATTATTATTATTATTATTCAAAGGAAACTTTGTGGCTACAAAATTGAAGAGCCGTCTGTCAAAGTGTAACAAGAATACTTTCTACTCTAACCTACTGTTAGTATTTTTGAACCGTTGTTTTGTTCGACTATGCGTGAAGAATGGGTTACCACACATGTCCACATCTATTTCTATCTATAAATTCACATGCTCCTATGGAGTTGATCCTATTGAACGTTGTGACTACATTTCCAAGAGAAGAGTTTTGAAACACTACTCGGTTTGGTTGGCAAAGGGCAAGTGAAGAATAACAGCTTCCTCAGTGTGTAAGCATCGAATACAGCTAGGTCATTCAGCTCTTCATGATCCATCTTTTAAAGTACTTTACAGAGCCAAATTAAACCAATTCAGTGCTCTACTTTTTCACCACTATGCATAAGTAGTGAAGCACTAGCTTTACATGTTCAACAGCCTAGACTCTATATTTAGAAGTGATTTGTGAAACCCCTTTCTCTCTACTTTGATCGTAAAAGTGCATTTTTTGCTTCATATTATTCTACTTCAGTTTGCATTTTTCCCTTTGATCATCATCGTGATTATCACTTTATCATTTCTCAGCAGAACTTAGCCCATGTTTTATCCAGTTAAGCTCATTTGATAGAGTGTGAGGGTTGTGGGTCCGAGTCACTCATCAGTCCTCCTCATAACCCGACCGATAGCTGCTTTCTTGACGTGGTAGCCATACTTGCATGTCACAAAAACCCAAAGAACTATTTTGGTGGGAACATTTCCTCCTTGAAGTCCTGCTGTACCAGGAAAATAATTTTTGTCACAATATAAACAGCTACGCTATTACGTGATTCCAAAAGTAAAGTCGTATTCATGAGTGGGTGTGGTGTAACAACAGTAAAGGATTGAGGTGGTCAGAAAAGGTCGGTCGCATTCTCGCCTGCCCTGCGAACTTCTGGTACTTGCAGCATGATTTTCTAGCTGGATTTAAAGCAAAGCTCATTCTAGAATCCACAGAAAGATCGCGTACGACACCCCGAGGAAATAACCTTGGACTCTGTGACCATGCACCACTATTACTAATTCAGTTTCTTTTTCATGTCTTCCAAAAAGTAACCTTCCACAGTCCCGGCAGCTAGGAAGTGTCTACCATCCTCATAAACCATTCAACATTCAATTCCTCTCAGATCATTGCCTATCTTTGCCCAGTATCCAGTCCGAACCTGAATGGGGCGTAGATTTCCCTCCTCTTACTCTTCTAGAAGACTGTCTCTAACCTGAAACAATATAAAGCAGTAGGATATGATGATTTACTACCTGAAGATGCAGGTAGCAAATCACCGAATACAGTAACTGAGACATTAAGTATTTTATGGGAGTCTTAGGTTTTCCCCTTCAAACTCATCTACTTCCCTCAATGTCCCAGTGTTTAGAGAAAAGAGAAGTCTTCCCACGGCAAACACGAGATAATCAGTTTCATTAATATGTTATCTGTACTTCTAGCATTCATAGTTACACAACGCTCGATTGCAGTGTGAGAACAACAAACTCAGTAAAAATAAGCAGATATCACATCTCGATGAGGGTGCATTTATCAGACCTTCACCTTTCGACAGGTTATGGAATTCATGCATATTTATCGTAATTTTCTACCTGAGGGCAACATTTGACTCTGTCACCCGGAAGTTGTTGTGGCAATATCGGAGTACTTCTTGTGCTTCCGTCACGTAATTGACTTTCCTTCTTTTGTCTACCGGTAGTAACACAGTTTTCTTTCCTGACATGAGTGAATTCAATGCATTTTTTCATCTATGCTGAGTTATTACTTCTTCCCCTTGATTTTCACCATCGCCATAGAAAGCTGTCGTAGTTCTTGCTGTTTTACAGCTGTTATTCTTGTCGTTCTTAGTAAACATTCAAAGGATACCCAGATATTTTACATATTTGCATTCTTGTCATTGTAGTTTAATCCCTTTTGTAGTTTTTATCTTTTTTCGCCCTTGGTTTTCGTTCTTATATTTACGACAGGGATTAATTGGATCTTCATCTCTGTTCCTAGGATCAGCCCCACTACTAGTTTTTGAGCGGTGATTATCCTGTTGTAACTTCGCTGTATTTTGTAGCCGTCTAACATCGCCAATCGTGTATGGGAATAAAATGTGATGCCCTCTGACTGGTGTCAATCACTGATTTTCGCAATCTTGAAGAGAGGAGAGAACTCCTGACATGATAATCATAGGGGAATCGGTCTTATGAAGATAATGTCAAAGATCCTAGGTCATGTAATGACAAGGAGGAAGTTAAGTTGAGGAAGCGTGAGTGGGAGAGCAGTAGCAGCAGCAGAAGGAGCAGCAAAGCCAAGAGAAGCAGGTAGGTTTGAAAGCTGGTCTTGGGTGTATTGACCAAATACTGAGCCTCTGACAGATCTTGGAACACAACACAACACAGACACGCATGCCGACACTGATGGTATTGGACCTCTTCGATCGAGGGGTATTATGATAGTGTCTGTGACGAGGAGAAGTGCTGGGTGAGTAAATGATTTGATTGAAGGGTGTGCATTGGTACACGCGTGATTGTGTTGGAGTTTACTTTGAGGCATCAGATAGGTTGCATATGTGAATTGGGATCCATCAAGGATGTCCACTCTCTCACCTCCATTCTTGTTTAACTTTGGCATAGACGTGTTGTGGAGATATCTGTGTTTTCGTGTGACTTGGTAGGAGTTGATTTTGTCAGGGGAGACAAGACTGCTAGTAGTGGGTCTAGAGTCGGGAGATGACATTGTGCTGTTAGGTGATGCAGAGTGTTCTGTAGATTTTCAACGGGGAATTGAGAATGTTTGAGGTGCTTTTTCTCAGCTAACTGACTGACTGATAAAATCGACGTAGAACCTCGCACACAGGTACATCGACTCAAGTTGCGACACTTCACTTTAGTTCACAAAGAACAGATCGATGGAAAAAAAGTGATACGAAAGAAGTTAAAGCAAGTAGTGTGAGAAAATACACAGTCTGAAGGTAAAGGTTATTGCGAATATTCAAGCTTCATAAGATGCTAAGGAGTGAATACATCTACACCATTGTGACTGATTTTCAGTTGTGTCACCAAGACTCCTCAATCACTGATTCCTTTCGTCGCGGGAACCCCAAGCGTGCAGTCTAGATCTCCTCACACGTCCCAAACAAGCAGTAAGGGACTTCAGGGACTGGTGTTAGGTCTTGTTCTGGGCACCCTGAACCCTGTTCTAACGCAGTTCAACTTCTCGTAGCATTGCACATCTAGGTAGGTGGTGGCTCGGCTTGCGGCGTGTGTCTAAGCCATCTCAGCTTTTCTTTGCATCCGAATAAAAATCGTTACTAGATAACTGGTCTATATTGGTACTTGAGAAGGTTACTCATTCTGAAAATAAATGCAACCATCTACAGTGAAGATAGTAGTGGAGACTGTAGCTGACTGTCGAAGGAAGGGTTAGAACAAGTCAGTGAATCGTAGCAACTTCATCTAAATTCACACATGCATAATATCATTTCTTCCTATTTTAATTAAATTTTTGCATTTCCTGCACTGAAGGCAATGTTTTTTACACCACCAGTCCTCTCATGTTTTCATTAACTCAGCAGGTTTCAAGTTCTGAGATCTTACTTCTCACCAATTATAGGTGTGATTGTACAGCTTGATGGCGAAATCATTGAAAAAAACATATCTTTGCTGATGAGTATCTTGTTCTCATTCTTATTCATGCGTAAGTGAGCATATTTCATCACTTGAACAGAACACAACATATTAAGAAATGGTAGTGAGAATAAAAATGTAGTAATTGTAATATTTAAGTTCATGTTTCCAGGTATTGATGAGCGAGTCAAGTAAACAACATTCTGAAGCCTTCTTATAGGTGTTGTATCATCCTAGGTTTTGTAAGGCCTAAGATTCTACTGCCTAAACGAAGCATGTGGTCGACTTAAACAACCACTCACCGAACGTTCGACTTGAATTTGTGTCCACATGGCAGGAAAGCAACACTAGGTGGTACGTTTCTGTGGTTACCAGTGACCAGGTTAAACTCGAACATCCTTCATCCGTTCCAGATTCTGAAACAAATGTGCACCGTCATTTTGGAAGCAAGATCTTCCAAGACCCTTAGGTAAGTCTTCGGTACCCATCAATCCGATGGTAGACTCTGAACCTTTGCTTTTTTCCTTTCACTTTTGTTAAAACATCATAATCACATAAAGTCAGAGTGGGACATCTCTGGGCGAAGCTATACAAGCATTTCTATCTGATGAACAGACCCTCCCACTCTCAGCCGTACCAAGGCATTTGAGCTGAATATTTTTTATCATCCATTTCCAAGATAACTGTAAAGATATCCAAGAAGATCATTTGGAAACAATATAGTTCATGAAATGTTTCAAATTCGTTGTGTGGAGATCTTAAGCCATCAGCAAAGTATAAGTAGAGTAGTAGGATGCATAATAGTTCGACGAAGAGTCTTTTTACCATCATTGTTGTACTTTCTCGTTGTATTGTTTTGAAAACTAGTTATTCATATTCCATTCCTGTTACATAACAAATAGTCATGTAACCAAACTTGGTACGCATATTCATATACTTGGCTATAGGTCGTTTTTTTATGTTAGGGCTTACGTTGCTACCTGGTTGCCCAGATAGAAAGAGGCGAAGCGGTATTTGAGTCTGGGATCCAATACTTCAAAATGAAGTTCTTAAATCAATAAGCCAGAACTCCACTGTCACACTGTTGACAGACACGGTAGTTCAAACAACTGGATACTTGTGCCCAACTTGGTTTTATAAATCGGACGTAGATTTGAAAATCCTACATTCTCAGAGATTTTACAATGATCAGATAACTAATTTGTGCTGTTATTACTCATTGTACGTTAGACGCTAACTGGTTTCGTTGTAAAGGTATCGTGATGAATGAAGCTTCTGTAAGCAATACCCCGTGGTTACAATATTGTTTTTAAAAATGTAGTTTACCTTCGATAACTATCCTTTTATATGTGAGGCAAGGTTCGTAATTTTTCTGAATAGAATAAATATCCTAATCTTTATTCATTTTGGTTATAAATGAACTATCCTTAACTGTATTTTTATTACTCTTCTCTTTAATTGTAAATTTCATATTGATAAATTGGATCATCCTTTGTTAAATTTCAGCCATTCTAACTTTGGACATGTCTCCGATTGTATACTCTGGTTTCGGATTGTCAGCCAAGAAGATTAAACGAAGCCATAAGCAATTTTTCTACCGTAGGTTTCGAGTGATACTTTTTCTCACTGTTGACAAAAACTTCTATAGCTGTATCATATGCAACTGATTCCCATAACTTATATACTGTCATTGAATCTCTACAAACAATTTATTACCAAAGATTTTATGTCTAAATCGTAGTTTTATGAGATTGTCGAATTGACTGGATTGAGCAATTTTCACCACAAAGTAATTCTAGGTGACTAAAAGCACTCGAAAAGAAAGTTTAAAATCGAAGACTGATAGATTAAAAAATAATCAGCAAAGCAGGATAAATGGAGCTGCACTACTGAGATTAGCGCTGATCTATCTCATCTTACGCTCCCGACTTCTATATTCTTATGCACTAAAGAAATGCGTTAAGAGAGCTGTTTTCTCCCACGAATCTTGAGAAAACTTATTAGTGTCAGGGAGATATCACCCTTTGGCTTATGCATTTTACCTTCGACTAGTGGGTCGCACGTTCAAGCTCTTTCCAATCTAACGAAGTTTGGACAGCCAGGTTTCATCACTTACCTCTTTAGCTTGGTGCACAACTTTTCGTTTGGTTACTAAGTTGAGAAGACTATCATTTACTGATCTAGCTGTTACTTTACCTGTAATCTATGAAATATGGCAGTCAGTTGGTGGCTGGTACACTCTACAAAAATTACAATCATTTGACTTAGTGTGATTTCACAATTTCACCACCTGCTTAGTCTGTCAGTGTTGAATTTACTTCACCTATTCTGATCAGCTTGTCAATTTTAATGCTCTTTCTGTCAAATCTTATTGCCTTTACTCTGAAATAAATCTCCTTTGATTGGAGAAAGTAACGACATATGGTTTTGTATCTGACCGTAAGAATTGAAGTGGCAAATGAGCTTGAGCCTTCAACATTCTACTTGACTTGATGTGTTAAGTCATTGTGTTTTCGTGTAATGTAACTTGGTTTATATCCTAATACTTTTTGAAAAGCTTGAAATACAGTGTATTTTAGCTTATGGACAAAAGAGACTACTTTGTTTTTTCGGATTTTTCAGTAAGTAGTAAGAATCAAGCATCAAAGTGCGTTTTGTCAATTTTTTCTAAATAATCACCGATGTAAGCTAATAGGAGACATAAATGAATAGGTACTGTGATATGACAATCATACTGGTTTAGATACAAATGTCGAAGCAGATAAAGTGTTGATCCTGATCAAACTATTTTGGTATCATGCACAACATTGGTTCATGAAACAGTAGTTTAGTTGTCTGTTCAGTAATCCACTAGAAAAAAAATTGCAAGTTGAAGCTATATCGTATGTACTCATATGTGAGTGATTGGGCAGTATGTTATACAGTATATACAGTCAACAACTAATTTCGAAACTATTCTCCAATATTTTTGATACCACTCTTGTATCTTATTTTTCCCAGGATTTCAAGCTGCTTTAAACACTTCAAATTTTCAACGAAATGGACCATTGCATTTACGTCTCCGATCATTCTTTAAGGCATTCACCAACCCTGCAGAATTAGGCACTCGTGTTCCTCGACGCCTAGCAGATCTTGGGCCTTTCTTTGTTGATTGGTTACCAGATTCCTCAAATACATTGGTGGTGAATTTCCTAATGCTGGATCTATCGTTTCTTACTTGAATAATGAGGAACATATTGTGGTAAGTTTACATTTGCATATTTGCACCATATCATAACATAGTATATGGTTTAATCCACTTAATTCAGTGAGATCTCCATAATTTCTAATAATTGGATTTTCACTTTACTAACGTAAATTATTAATAAAATTAAAGGTGGTGCCTGAAGTAATTATTATTAGAACATAAATATGATACAACAAGGGCACCCAGAAATGTCCCACAAACAAATTATATAGCAACATTATGAAGACATAAAGCGAAGGTAATGACTAACAAAATCAACACAGAACCTCGCACAAAGATTCATGGGCTCAAGTTGCCACACTTCACAGTAGTACACAAAGAACAGGTTGACAGAAAAAAGTAATATCAAAGTGGATGAAATAGTGTCAGAGAATACGCTTCAGCAGCAGAAGAGAGAAGGAAACTACTGCATGACCACCAGTGGTTTCGATTCTGAGACATATATGGTACCGTCTCAAGCCACTGAGTTACGTGATCTCTCGAGCTCTCCCTCCACGGAGAGTCGTCATGCACCAACAGATGCGAACTCGATACAACTATCCTTCATCCCACAGCGCCACATCAAACACTGACCACCCCTCCGCTACTTCCATCCAATCCCAGAGCTAGTAAACAATGAACGGTATGAAAACCGTTGGGACGAAATGAATAATACATATCCAAGTTACTGAAGTCGGTGTTTCAAGACGACTTCATTTATTGAATGACGATCTCTATCATGCCGAAACACACGCTGTTGTACCTCAGAACTACTACTTACATGTTGTTGCCACCGGATATGAGAAATACTGTGGAGAAAACGATTAATTGGACATCCTCAGCTTGGAGAGACCAGGTTTCACAGGCGTAGACGAGAGCTACCCTCACCGAAGCGTTGTAAACGCGACCCATTACAGTCAGACTAACGTCACAATGGTGGGTCAGGTTGGCGTATGCCATTCTGGCTTTAGATACACGGTTGGAAATGTCATTACTCACATCTCAACCAGCACTCACACAACTACCCAGATACACGGACTTTTCTACTACTTCCGGGGGCTCACCACTCAGGGTGAGTGCAGACACATGCTCCTTCCAATCTTGCTAAAGTGCTTTGGATTTTAATGGTGCAAAGCACATAGCATACTTACAGACATTGATCGCCAACTGATTGAATACGATCTGGATGGTTGGTGTGTTACTGCGCGGTAAGACTCTATCGTCCGCATATTCAAGGTGGGATAGCCGTCCTCTGGGTAGTAGATCTACACAACCATCACGCACCTCCTTCACAGCTATTTCAAGAATGTCATCGATGGCAAAGTGAAAGAGGAATGGAGAAATCGAGCAACCCTGCCTAACCCCATTCCTGGTTTGGAACATTGGAGACAGGTGGTTGTATGCCCTCACTCTATCTAGGGTGTTATTATGTAGGGCTTTCAGGATATCACTAAGTTTCTCAGATAAACCCCTCTCTAAGAGACATTTGCAGAGAACAGCTTTGTCCAAAGAATCGAAGCCAGTTCTTATGTCAAGAAACACTACGATTGTTGGCCTGCACACGCGTGGCGATGTTCGAGTATCTGGTGGAGGGCAAACACATGTATCCACGACCCAAATGAAGCCCACTCTTCTCCTGGTGAATCATATTCTCACCCGTTTTGCAAAGTCTGCGAAGTATGACAGCAGCCAATATTTTTGACGCTACTGATGACAGACTAATACCCCTATGATTGTCACATATATTACGTAGGCTTTTTTTAAAGATGGGCTCAACGATGGCTTCGTTCCAAAGTGATGGAAGACTCTCAATTCGCCATACCCTCTCAAACAATCTAGTTGGTTCCCTGATTTTCGAAGTGTTCCGCCCAGCGTTCCGGGTGTCTTAGAAGATTGTACTCATTTTGGTGACTCGAAGTGGAATTATGGTCGCGTGTTTCGTTTTATTTGGTACTTGTCAGTTGGATGTACCTGCACCCCATAGAGTGATATTGTTCCCACTGAGACTTGAATCCACTACCCACTGCTCAAACACCAAAGCGTTATCCACTCTTCCACTGGAGCATGAACGCAACCACTTGTGCAACGGATATCATTTTTTGTTGTTTGACACTTGTAACTTCCCGTTGCTCTGAAAGGTCGAATTGCTAGACCTCTTTTGACAGATAGGCCTCTTTGCGGATGCCTCGATACTGCCGGGTATTCATTATGTATTCATTAGTCTCAGTAAAAACAACATCACTCAGTGGGGTGCGGGTACATCTGCCTGATGAGTCCCAAATAGGATGAAACATGCGCCCTGGATTCCGCTGCGAGTCCCCAAGATGAATGCAGCATCATGAATACCCAGTAGCGTTTAGACATCTTCATGTGAGTTCATCTGTCAACAGAGGTCGAGCAATTTGCCCCTTTATAGCAACGGGAAATCACAAGTATCAAACAACAGTCTTTGAAGATTCTTTATCAGCCAACCGTCTGCCTCACAGGCCGTCTCACTGACACCAGACTTCTTGCTGCCATCAGCTCGGATGAGCTAGAACAGCTTCTGACTGTCGCCTGATGCAGCTGCTGCCTCCATCTCACTCGCGCGTTCTGACCACCAAGCTTCATGGTCCTTGCATAAGTGCTGTATAATCTTTCACGTGAGAGACTTACACGAAGCATTGTACTCGCCATCCTACGGAATGTTCCGATGGGCGTCAAGAAGTTTCAGGGAGCTCGCAGAGATCCAGTGTTTATTAGCGGGACGTTCTTACAAGTTCCAAGCGTCTTTACTCGCCATTTTCATGGTGTCTTGCAAGTGCAACTAATGCTCGTCTACACTTTCTAGAGGGTCATTAGCTAGTGTTAAATCCATCTTGGATTAGTATTTAGCTGTAATATTAGGTGCAACCAATTTGCTTGCATCGACTTGTTTAGGAAGACGATTTCGATGACCACCAAAACGCAAAACGAGCTTAGCACACAGTAAAGCATTATCAGAGTCCATATGTAGTGCTAGTTCTGCATGCACCCACGCCATCGGTAGCCGGTTGCAATGTGATCTATTGGATTCCAGGCTTGAAGTGGCAGGGGGAGGAGGCCAAATAGCACAACGATGATGACTGTGCGGGAAGTTGGTGCTAGCTAGAAATAGGTTGTTATCTGCGCTAAGCTGCATAAGACGATCCTGATCATCCGACCTGTGGCTAACTAGTCCCCACCGGCCACCTAAACGACCTTCTTCTGAGTCTGGATGCCGAAATGTGCATTCAAGTATCCAGCTAGCACTAAGATATCTGTCGAGTGCACTCGGTTTAGAAGGTTTTCTTCAGTTAGTGGTGGAGTTCACCCTTGGTTGCACTCAGGCCGCAATTCATCGAAGCATAAACAGAGATGATAAAGAGATATCGTTTTTCTTCCCAGTACCTTCTGACTCGAAATCAACCTTGTAGCCTAACACCTTACAGATGGCTGTTGATGGGGACCCAGTCGATTGGTGCAACTTCGGCCTGATCGCTTAGTGTGACATCAACACCAGGAAGGCCAGTTGCCGATTCCACGGGGTCTCCGGATAAGCCCACATGGAACATACGTTTTGAGCTAATGGAGAACCAATTTGAAGTATATCATTGGGATCTTGTTTGAGCGTCTCTAAGATAGGGTGTACATAAATGATGAGGCTTTCCAGAGTCCTAGCTGGGCCTGGCTGTTGTGTGATCTGCATTAAGGGGCGAACGTTGGAGGTGGCAAGCTGAAGCGGTAAGCGTGTTTTAGGATAAATAAATAAGTGTTCCATTCCCAACTCAAGAATTTAACGTGAAAGAAGCCAGTTTATAGGCATCATCCAGATGATAATGGTAGAGGAACCTTCAACACTTTAGTTGTGGTGAGTGAAACAGAGAGGAAACCATTAAAGTTTATCATGAAGTTGTGAAAGGAATGGGAAAATAACACGTAGCGACTCAAAGCGGTACAGACAGACTAAAAGTCTAAGCAATGGGGAGCAGCTGAGTGAAGTGACGATAAAGACAAAAGCCAGCCAAATGGCGAAATCGACGTAGAACCTCGCACACAGGTACATCGACTCAAGTTGCGACACTTCACTTTAGTTCACAAAGAACAGATCGATGGAAAAAAAGTGATACGAAAGAAGTTAAAGCAAGTAGTGTGAGAAAATACACAGTCTGAAGGTAAAGGTTATTGCGAATATTCAAGCTTCATAAGATGCTAAGGAGTGAATACATCTACACCATTGTGACTGATTTTCAGTTGTGTCACCAAGACTCCTCAATCACTGATTCCTTTCGTCGCGGGAACCCCAAGCGTGCAGTCTAGATCTCCTCACACGTCCCAAACAAGCAGTAAGGGACTTCAGGGACTGGTGTTAGGTCTTGTTCTGGGCACCCTGAACCCTGTTCTAACGCAGTTCAACTTCTCGTAGCATTGCACATCTAGGTAGGTGGTGGCTTGGGATGCGCAGTATATTTCCAAGCCATCTCACTGAACTTAGGTTCACAACCTCACTAATTGGCTCACCTACGATGCCTATTACCCTTTGCCTGACTTCAACATTGCTCAAACGTTAATTCTTCCAGATGCGAGCAGTGATACGAAGACACCTATGGCTAAAACCCTGAAGTCGCTTCATTTCTTCCACTTTTAACGACCATATCTCATCCGTATAACAAAACAAAACAGTCTGCAGTCTGCTCATCCTCTAATAGATAGTGGGGGGTCTCGCTTTCGGCGTCACATGTATCGTAAGTTGTCAAATGCTAAGCGTCCTTTATGTACTCTAGCTTAGATTTCGTTTACAACCAGTTCGTTTGGGCTGATGCAACTGTCCAAGTAAATAAAGTGGTCGGCGTATTCCACCACTTCCTGTCAGACAAAAGCTAAGACTGTAATAATAAAAATCGGTTCATATGTAAGAACAATAGGGCGAACAATTGAGTAAAGTATTCGCGGTGCCTGATTATTTCCAGGAAAATTGGGTGAGTGCTGAAATACTGACCGGGCGCCCAGACCGAAGGAGGTAGCGCTTCTCAGGGAACCACTTCCTTAGCCTGTGACTTGAAGTCTAATCCACATAGCAGCGAAGCAACATCAGTAGCTGCATTCTCACAGTTGCAGGTGACCAAAATAGGTTCATGCACCATTTGTTCTTTCCGAATCCTGGAGCTTATGTGCACCACCAGTCTGGAATTAGGGTTTCCCAAGTCCTCTAGGTGGACCTTCAGTGTCCACTTATTCGGTGATGGTGATAAGCACCGGATATTCGCTTTTGCTCTTTCACTTTTGTGGGAAAACCTCCGTTACGTGTAGGCAGCAAATAGGACTTCCCTGGCAGAGGCTGTAAACGCATGCCAGGGCGTTCATGGACTTGTTTATAACTAACGTCCTGTTACAAACTTCATTCTTGAAAACGTAAGCTGAGTAACCGAACAGTTCAAAAATTAATCCAATCTTGATCTTCATTTTAATTTGAAACTTCTCAGGGTTTTACATTTGTTATTTTCTCCTCCACTTGCTCATCTTTCCACTTTCCATTTTTCATCATTTTTCTCTTTTTTTTATTGTGGATTATAATAATTGAAACTCCAATAGATAGCTGCTACTTTAACGTGGTGGTTGGGTTTGTATATCACAATGATTCGACGAGTTACACTAGCTGGAACTCTTGTGCTCCGAGGTCTTACCTTGCCAGAAAGGTCTTTTGGACGGAAAGACGGAATGCAGTTACCGTTGTAGTGTAAATTACTACATTGGGATGGGGTCTGAGGATTAAGTCATACTGCTGACTGGATGTGGTGTGACAGGAATAAGGTGTTTCTCTTGGAACACCAGAAATGCCACGCTGATACTGCCTTCCCAACGAGAAGGGAAAAGGTCAGCCCCTCGAAATAGCACATTTCTCGCTATATGGTCTTCCGGTGTTGGTGATATGGGTTTTCTCTATCCGACGTTAGAACACAACCAAATCTCACACCGACCATCCTGAAAAGGCTGTTTGACAGATCTCAAGCAAATGTCCTATTGGCTCTGCGGTCACACAAATCTTTTTTCTTTTTAGGTACCTTAAGAAGGAATAGCCTTCTGTGATGTAGGCAGCCGGGAATTGTAAATTAATCTCACGCTTCCAGTTTTACACAAGACCCGATCAAACAAAGCCTATACTCCTCAACTCTGTCTCCTCCTTCGCCTTCATCTAATAATACTAATACTAAGCTTCTTAAAACTTCCCCAACCTCTCATTCTGCGACGATTGTGAACAATCAAAGCCATCGAAACCTCATTGCTAGTCTCCTAAAACCTCGCCATCGATTTCATGTAGAAGCTTTCGATGTCTGAACTCTATACCACATCCGACAGCAAGCATCGTGAGCCAGAACTGTGCAGTACCCAGCCGTGGGTATGTGCTATATCTCCGAGATACGTATATAGGACTTTAGTGTGATTATTAAATTGACGTCACCTGGTTATAGTAGGGAATCTTCAAAATTCACATCAAGAATATCTGGAGACCCAATGGCTAGCTCTTGTTGACTCGCAGGTGTAGGCATAGCGTTGAGTTGTAAAGCAAAAGGGCGCTCCTCAACTGGAAACCAATCAACAGCCGTCTACATGCTGTTAGACCAAATGGATCTGTAAAGACTAGGAAGGATAGTGAGTCTAGGCGACGCCTATTCGTAATCTCCTCTACACATCCACCAACTGTAGTCCGGATGGTCCAAAGGATGAATTCTATGAAAAGCTGTCAACTTCGCTATGGAAAGCAAGACATTCAGATTTAGTCATAATGTCAGGTGACTTTAACACCCAAGTAGGAAAGCTGAGCCAGTCGGAAAGGCATCTTAGGAGTACTTACGGAATTCCATGCCAGCAAACCGACAACGGTGATCGTCTTTTGCGATTCTGCCCCGACAATCACTTGTTTCTGACCAGCACTAACTTTAAGCATAAGTAGCGACACTGTCTCATGGCGTCCACCGACATCAAAACAACGATGGGCACAGATAGATCACGTTACTGTAAGCCATAATCAGAAAGGATAGGTGGAGGATTGCCACTCTTTCTGGAGTACCTGTTTGAACTCCGGACATGCGATAGTACGAACTCATGTCTGTCTGCTTCTTACTGGCCGCAGGAAACAGGATGAAACCCGTATGTACTCGATTGATAGATGAGTACACCGAGTCAGAAGTTAGGGAAGATATAGCTAAGCCTTTATCTGAATGTTGCATCAATGCTCATCCTTAGAAAACGCGGCGTGATATTAAGTCTGCTGTCGAAACAGCGGTAAAGACGGTTAGTAACCTACACCCGAAGGCTAGCAAACGTTATAAGATTTCTGCCTCATCATCCGAACTGGTTGATGCTAGAAGACTGATTCAGCTAGCTCTGACTGTGATGAAGACCGTAAGCACATTAGAAGTGAATTGAAGTTGAGAAAGTCGTTTAAACATGCAGAGATGCTAGCCTGCAGGACCTGACAGCTTGCCAACTGAAGTTTTAAGGATGGAGGTAGGATATCGCGAATTAAAGTGACCGAGGTATTAGGTAGCATATAGTGTCGTCAGACTGGTCTACTTCTCTGATCCTCCCAGGCTATAGGGAGACAGATCAATCCTCTAGTGACAACCATAGGGGAAATAGTTTGACTAATATTGTGTCCAAGATCCTAGAGTCCATAGTTATCCGACGCCTAACTGGAGCTCAAGAAAACTAGGAAGGTTTCAGGTAGAGCTAGATGAGGGTGAATCGATCATATTTTTACCTCTGACAGGTTCTGGAACACATGCAATCTACTGGCCGATGGCCTACACTTGCCATATTTGTTGACCTGAATGTGGTATTTGACCCAGTCGACTGTGAGGTGTTGTGACAATGTCTGACTGTAAAAGGAGTACATAACGCGAATCAAAGGTCCCTACTCAGACTTACGCAGCCGTGTAAGGGCTTATGGAGAGTTATCATGTGAGTTGACGACTACTAGTAGTGTCCACCAGGGATGCCTACTGTCACTGTTTCTTTTTAACTTTTTCGTAAACCTACTAATGAGCATAACCTTAGGTATGTCCGACTTCACAGGAATTGGTCCACTCCCCTTTCTGATGTTCATCCGGTTGACTTGGAGTATGCAGACCGTAGGTGTCCTGGTAGGCGAATACACTGACAAAATGCTGGGTCTTGTGAACGCGTTGAGCAGAAATCTGAGTATTTTTGGCATGTGGCCCACTGGCACCTATCAAATGTGAGTTGATGCTCATGGACTAGTCTACAACCACTCCTAGTTTAATGATAGAGTGAGGTGATGGGATATATCGACCACTTCACTTACTTGAAGAGTTGCATCAGCTCAAACTTGCTGGTTGCTAAGGCAATCTCAGCTTGAATACAAAAGGCCCGTTCGACACTTGCCAACTTACGTCATCTGTGACGTTGACTAGCAAGATTTCTGATTATCGATCAAAGAATGAGTATAAAGCTTTGCAGTTTATTCTGTTCTGTTATACTGCTGAGACATGCTCGTTAAAAGTAGAAGACATGAAGCGGTTACAGGGTTTTGACCACAGGTGTTTTTATAACATTAGTTACGTTTGGTGGGACTCCTATGTAAGCACTGTGATGTCAGGTAAAAGGTACTAGGCAAGATGGGCAAGTCAACTAACAGGATTGTGAACCTTAGTTTACTGAGGTGGCTTGGACGTGTGTTGCGCTTACCGAGTGAATCACCGCCTACCCCGACGTGCCATGCTACGGGAATTTGGATTAGGTTGAAAGAGGGTTCAGAATGGCCAGACACAGTCGTGGCAGCAGTGCTTAAAGTTCTTGACTATTGGTCTAAGCCGTGTATGAAAGTAAGTGTAGACTGTCTGACGAGAGGAATCATTAGTTAGGACTCTTGGTGAAATATTGGAAAATACCGCACAATGGCGTAGATGTATCCATTCTTTAATGTCTTATAAAACTTGAATGTTTTGACTAACCATAATTTTAAATTCCCTCTCCTTCCATACAGCATCATGTACCTTGGTATAATTGTTTCTATCCATTTGTTCTTTGTGTACTACCGTGAAGAGTGTTACAAATCGAAGTTTTCTGTTGATTTTTTCTGTCTATCTAACTTGCAGTTGAAACTGATTCATCTTTTTCGAAGTTGTACACTCTACTTGATCTATATTTGGACTAGAGCTTTGAGTTATGAACTTGAAGAATTTCATTAAGGTTTAGTGCATACATGATATTTATCTGTTTTTATGACTATCACCATTAATTTTTATCACCAATGTTGTCAACTTTGTGAAAACTAGCCATGGTGAGAGAGGATTCACATATTTTAGTAATTTTTGGCCATACGTAATCTGTCCTATCAAAATTGGTTATTGTATGTGCGTTTCCTATTTGTATCGTAAATAAAGCAAACTATTATCCCCTACATAAACAGGTTAAATCATTTATCCCTTTTACGTTTGGTCATCAAAGTTCATGTTATAAAGTTATATATTGTCCGGTAGTAAATCACATTTAACCCATGAATGTGTATATGTATGTTTCTAAATGAAGGTTAGACCACATTGTGAAATTCTTGACTACAACGGACCATGTGTCCTCCTACCTGATTTCGTTTCGTGGGAGAAAGTACCGTTTAAGCAGGAAGAATCGAGTACTACAAGCATAAAAAGGGAAAATCCTCCAGATTTTTTAAATTTTGCAAACATTCAATTGGGTTAACCGTTTTATCATACTTGGCGACTGGGATTTCCTTTCCCCATACAGCTGCTTCAACCTGTGTTCCGAGGTATGACATTATCATTAACATTATTCGCAATATTACAAAAAACGGATGTGTTAATCAAACTGTTAGTCATAAAATAATGGTAAATATGTTCCGTTTTTTTCACAACCGATATGATTTCTTAAGCTTACATTTCCTGTCAGATGATACCCTCCTAAAGCATATCTGCAATCTCTCTGTAACTTATGCACACTCAGAGGTTCCGAATTACACCGTAGTTATAAACGTTTACGACAAGGTATATAAGTCCGCACTCATACAAAACTCTTTCAAAGATACAATATGGTACAATACATTTCACCGTCATTTCGGCTATTATAAAATTTGGCTCATAAGGTTAAATGAAAACATCAGAGAATAAGCCTGTTCACTGTCTAGCGAGCTCTTCAAAATCACAAAAGTAATGCAAAATTTGTAGTGAACTGATGTTAGTGATTGCAAATCCTCTTTAAGCCAAAACTATTAATAAATGGATGTTTCGCGTAATAGTACCACACTGCGTATTTCGATAAAAATAATCGTTGATATGTTGCTGCACCATTAATTTTTCTCACTGTCAGAGGTAGTGAGCTGGTAATTTTAGGCATAGTTCCAGCAGCGAAAAAGTCACCTTCATCATCATCGACATCAATTGTCTCCCTCTTCATTCCGCCGACGTTGTCCTCATCAAATATTTCATAGTTTGTACCAAGTTTTGGCAGATACTAACCATCCAACTATGTAGGATTTCACTCTGATTACTTGCTCCCGGCTGTTTGAGCTTCTAGAGTTAAATTAGATAGTAGGTTTCACCACTTAAGTCAGATCATAAGTGTTCATTTCGATGCTCCCAAATCCAACTTTTATATGTGTCAGATATGCTAGATTTATTTTTAATTTCTACTTTCAGCTCTAATAAAAATTCTGAAAAATATGCTCTCATATTTATCATTTTCTTTAGCAGTGATAATCCATGCTTAACCAATTGTAGTTTGTCACCAATTTATTCGCAAACTATAAGTGAAATTATTTCACCTGTCTATGAGCTAAAACAGCTGAAAATTGTTCATCTGTCAGGTTTATTCCTGATTATTACTGCGATGAATTAGAAGACCAGATAAAGTAAGTTGATTATAATAATGATACTAATCATAACAATAATAATAATAATAATAATAGCGACAGCTCTTCTTCCTATTATTATTAGCAGTAGCACCAACATTATAATATCAGTATATCTGTAGCGTTGTGAAATTTGTTTATCACTTTTCTTGATTTTTGTTCGAATACTGAATATTAGTACTGCAGATATTTAAACATTTCTTAGTGAAAGATTGTCATTATCAACCTTCATCTGATATTGTTCTATACATTTGTCAACGGTGCAATGCCATATTATCTTAACACAACTGATGAACACTCATATGATTACATTCTGAAATAAGATTCCTTACATGATTTAAACTGCAATTGCGGGGCAAGAATTCCAAGAGCAGTGCAACTTGCATACCTTCGACGAGTCTTCGGTTGCTTGCTATGCGGTTGAGGATGTTGAATGGAACACTGAGACAGGCCGTGGAAAGACTGCAGAAGTTGAAAGGACAGTAAGTAGTAATGTGAAACGAGGCAAAGTAGCAAGGCAGACGAGCTGTTAACAGAGGTATGTAAGGACGATAGTTTTGGCTTATTGGTTTGGTTATTCGACTGAGTGGTGTTAGCTGCTGGCGTATGCAAATGAGACGTGATGCCTCTGACTAGTGTCAATCACTGATTTTCGCAATCTTGAAGAGAGGAGAGAGCTCCTGACATGATAATCATAGGGGAATCGGTCTTATGAAGATAATGTCAAAGATCCTAGGTCATGTAATGACAAGGAGGAAGTTAAGTTGAGGAAGCGTGAGTGGGAGAGCAGTAGCAGCAGCAGAAGGAGCAGCAAAGCCAAGAGAAGCAGGTAGGTTTGAAAGCTGGTCTTGGGTGTATTGACCAAATACTGAGCCTCTGACAGATCTTGGAACACAACACAACACAGACACGCATGCCGACACTGATGGTATTGGACCTCTTTGATCGAGGGGTATTATGATAGTGTCTGTGACGAGGAGAAGTGCTGGGTGAGTAAATGATTTGATTGAAGGGTGTGCATTGGTACACGCGTGATTGTGTTGGAGTTTACTTTGAGGCATCAGATAGGTTGCATATGTGAATTGGGATCCATCAAGGATGTCCACTCTCTCACCTCCATTCTTGTTTAACTTTGGCATAGACGTGTTGTGGAGATATCTGTGTTTTCGTGTGACTTGGTAGGAGTTGATTTTGTCAGGGAGACAAGACTGCTAGTAGTGGGTCTAGAGTCGGGAGATGACATTGTGCTGTTAGGTGATGCAGAGTGTTCTGTAGATTTTCAACGGGGAATTGAGAATGTTTGAGGTGCTTTCTCTCAGCATCTAAACGGGACTTGTTACTCGGTAAACTGCTCGACGTGGATAGTTGAGAAGGTTACTTATTCTGAAAATGAATGCGCTATTTTTCTGTTTGATTGCCTGTTGAGAAACATGTTGAATGCGCTCTTGCTCGGAGTTTTTGGTCGCCCGTGCATTTTTCGTTGTAACTTTATGTCTTGTGACCATCGGGTCAGTAGTCCATGTGCCATGTCGTATATAATGCGGTAGAAGGAATTATGTTATGACTGTCGTTGACACATTACCGGAAAATGTGATACGTATTCTGAGTCAACATCTGCGTCGTCACGCAATTTTCTCTGAAGTAGGTTTTGACTGAAAAAGTTTTGAAATTTGTAGTCCATGAAGTCTTTGACCGTTAGCTTTCAGCTTTGTAAGGAATTTGGTTTGCCAGACTTCTGTCTGCATGATAACTGAGTTTCAATTGTGTATACTTTCGATCAAATATTCCAGTATCGATCTTAGGGACGAAGTGGCACCTATAGAGTTTCTTTATCCTAATCGTGATGTAGAATTTTAGTGTTGTGCGATTCTTTCTTCCTCTTTTTTTTGAATTCCTGCCTGTTTTCGTTGCTTTCTTCACATCTCTCTTCAGGCTGGGGGTGATTTAATGTCTAGTCAACAATTCTGACCGGTGACCTCTCTGTGTTTCACACGATGCCTAATACTTTGATGTGCTGATATGCACTTTGGTATATTTGACCGTTGCGCAGCAATTCCAGGTCTCTTGTTGATGCTGACGGATGTTGTAAGAAAGCTAACCAATCTGAAAATACTGAATCACTCCCTCATGTGTTTCATCAGTGGTCATATCTGTGCCGAAGTGTGTTATTTTCTTATATTCCATAATATGTATATTTACCAATACCAGAAAGCTATTCAAACTTAGGTTACTAAGTATGCTTTTAACGTGTATTTTTCTATTTATAAAGGTCTGTATTGATAGAAGATCAATGTGAGAATGAATTGGTATACTTATGTAAATGTCCACTGAAAACTTCGGATTCTTTGCAGTCTTTTAAACAACCTGCTGGCAATTCTGGAACTTTATTTGTAACCGGTAGACAAAGATTATCAGATTCACAGAGCCCTCCAGTAATCCTAGTTCGATTCTAACTTTTTTCGAATCGATGTATATGTTTAAAATAAATTGTATTCGAAAGATGTTTTCTCACCTTTTCTCATATCATTCTTGTTTGTAACTCGGGAAATTTTTGCACATCTATCATGAGATTTCAGTAGTTTGACTTCATTCAAAGTCCGCGTTTAATCCTAGGGCTTTTCCAAGCTTGACATAAATGCGTAGTTAAGATGTACGCTAAACATATCAAACCATTTAGCTCATACTTTGCTGAAATAACAAAAATATTATGTATCTAATGTATTCATATTGCACTCGCGTTTATTAAACTTTCTTAGAAACCTATCGTACTCAGAAGTACTTATAATTGGGCCACACAAGTTCGTAAAAGTATGTTTCTTTTATCCTTCCATCCATTTCATCGTCGATGTGGATAGGCCGATGCCTATAGTGGAAGTAAAGAAAGCAAACGTTTTAGTATGTATTTGTTCATACATTTCAACCAAGTTACACACTGTGAGGGAGGATCACTCACAGAGATTTGATTCTGGAAATCACTTTACGAAACCCTATTTAATCATTGCTTATTTTCAATTATGTAGGTGGGTTATTCATCGAGGTGGCTTTTTGTCCTCAGCACAGTATCAAGGATTAACTATTGCAGTTAAAACAAATGTAGCTATATTTTATTGCATTATAGACGTCTTAACCAGAAAAATATGGGGGACTGCAATGTATTTCGATGATGCACTCACAACTGGAACGACTCGTGATCAACTTTTTATTCATCTACACAAAATAGTTCCAAAGCTTAGTGAATGTGGCTAAGGTTTTCGCGATGTCTTCAACTGAATGAATGAATAAAGTGCACTCAGCAACCTTGCACACATTCGTGCAGTAGGCAATGAGCTACACCTATCGTTTGATGGCTAATGTTAATACCTGGCTGCCCGAACCACGGTAGGTGCAATGGGTCTCGACCCCGTGACCCAATGGTCAATAATCATCTCTCCAAACCAATGACCCGCATCTCCAAGACTCACATCTCAATCCTTTATGGAATCGGTGGTATACACTGCTGAAGTATGCCGTGCCAGAACAAAACAGCTGTCCAGTGCTCCCAGGCTTTTCGGTGATTCTTCAGCTAATGTCATTCCGTGAAAAATACTACCTTTATACCTATCCCTACAAACTACTGTTAAGATTTTTCAGTAGTTCAGAACTAACCCTTTCCATTCAAGGAAAATTGACTTTTTGGGGAACCGTTGAACCAACTAAAAGATGACATAAAGTGAACTTGATCAAATAAATGCCAATGTTTTGGTGGTATATCATTACAAAATCAATTGGTAGAAGAGGCTCTGGACCTACGTTTTGTGATTGTTGGCGCTCATCAGGAAGGCGCATATGTAACCGTGAGGAAACCAGTTTCCTCTTGGTGATTCAACCCTATGTCACTTAAGAAATAAGCTATTCACTCCATAATTGACCCTCTGCGGAACTGAGTTATCTACATGAGTGGGTGAGATATGTAGCTGCTAAGTGCTTAGCACTGATCTCAGCTGGCTGAATCTTACCATCTGATACCAAAATACAGTGCATTACAGCGTTCCGTCTCCTTACTTAATGACCGTATTGTAGAACTTGGTTGGTGGACTGCGATCAGTCCTAGGCACTAAGGAATGGACAGTTGCATCGGTTACCCATCGGTGATGAATTCGCAAATCACAATCTCGTTTGAGAAGGATTAGGCGATGCTGCCACTAAGTAACCCCAATCCCTGTAGTTTAAATGCTAATTGACAGGCTCACAATAACACTGACCCGTATAAAAGTTACTAAGACATTCGGATAAATCCTGCAACATTTAGAAGCATGACATGCAAAACTCCATCACATATGTCAACAAACGAGCCCCATCAAATTACGTAGAAATGTCCTCATGCTCACAATCTACCGATCCTTCAGATCTATCAGTTAAAATTTCAGCGGGAATTGCATCTGTGGTCAATTGTGTGAAGAAGGATCCTTTTAGAATGGTGTCATATCAAAAGTCCGGTTCGACCATAAAAACAGTGACTCAGTCTAGAAGGTAGGAAATGGACGCTAAAGAGACCGAAACAAACAAGGTGATGAGAACTATCCATACAGAAATATAGATTAGCTGTGAATTCGTACGGTGCTCTGACTTTGTTAAAGGATGACGAAAGATATGTAGCTGCAATTCCAAAATGCCTATGACAGGAGTTTATCCACGAATGCCACCAGCTCACACACAAAGTAGTTATGATAACGATGAAACTCTTGCAGCAAAGTGCATGTTGTCAGGGAATGCGGGACGATGTTAGGAAACAAGTACTGACGAAGAGCAATCAGTGCATATGGCCATCATTACAGCTGATTCCTGTTATAGCAGTCAGTAGTCTGGGGTCATTAGCCGTAATGGAACTCTTTATTCAGGCATTCAGTGACCAACAGCACCTGCTAGTGATGTCAGAACATGTGACACACTGGGTGGAAACTGTTGAGATTTCTGACTAACGCAAAGACAGTAGGACAGGCTGTTTTTTGACAGATTTTTAGAAACCATGACGTACCGAAGATAATACTGACCGACCAGGGATCGTTTTCTGAGAGTGAAGAGCTCAATTCTCGCTTACGATAATTGGGTATCAAGAGGAAAAGAACAACTCCTTACCATCCTCAAGCTGATGGATTAACAGAAAAGAATAATCATAGGTTGAAGGCATGGCTGGCAGCAAAAGAAAGTATCTGGAAAGGAGAACTGCCATTGATATCATTGGCATAAAGGGCGTCCTTATATAGAACAAAGAAATCTTCGTCCCAGCTTGTATGTGACAGGAGATCAAGAATTTCAGTACAGGGTAGGACATGGCTGCAACCAGCAAGACTGAATCTTACCCAAAGGAGAACGGAACAGAGACAATCTATCCAAAATGTCGAAGCAAAACAGAAAGCGAGATTGGTGAAATCCACACAAAAACAACGCACGAAATGGAAACCTTCCGAGGTAGCAGATTACGTGAAGTGGAAGCCACAACAGTCCGTCGAAGAAGGCGGATCAGGATCACGATACCATTCCCAAAATATGAAGGCCCGCCTGCAGTCACGAACAGACTTGGTGCAGTTTATAAGATCAGCAAAGACAATAAAGAAAGAAGTATGAACACCAATAAGCATCAGAAGTGAATGTCAGTGAGGAACGAAACGGATCTGCAAACGATACAGAGCAATATACCAATAAAACGATCACGAGAGAAACGGAAACAACCTTATAAAGAGGATACGAGAGTAGTGAGGACTACTTGTCGAGCTCTGAAATCTGACTCCAAGTTTTATATACGTATTCAGATACACTATCGCCTATTTATAATTCCCGACACTGCTGATCCACCTGCGTCACACAGCGTAAATATCAGGAGTTAACGCGAAGTATATATCAGGATGTTGTATTAGTCAACGAGCGAGCAAAAAGTCTTTTTCAGTACAACTAAAAAAATGTTCAGTGAGTTTTTACATATATAAACACAATACAGTGAAATAAAATGCTACATACTTACATGGATGTGTATAAGTAGTATGTATGGAAACACTAGTAGTGATAACGATCGACCGGTGAGGAGTCAAGCAAAAAGAACAAACAATATCACATGGAAATATGAAAAGCAAGAACAGTGTGGAGTGACGTACAGAACAACAGATTATTTGCAAATGGTTAACATACTATTAGGTTTAGTAATATTACAATTATTAGTTGCATTTTCTCACTACACTCTATGATAAATACATGTAAGCTGCTCATTAATGGCATGAAAACCGTTTATTGTTGATTACTTCAGTGTGATGGAGGCGCCAGAGAGAACTGGTACTAATGTCTGTTGGGATTTTGAATGAAGTGAAACTTTACTCTCAATTGACCAGCAGTAAAATTATGGTAGAAAATTCTTGTCAAGGGGGGGGGGGGACAGCCAGAGAGTCTGTCCTAAAACAGCATACTGTGCTGCAAACTACATGTGAGAGCTTTCAACTCCCACCTGAATAGTTTCGTGATAACGCCACCGACTACGACACTGGGTGGCGCGGGTTCGAATCCTAGACGAGACGTCAGTTACCTCAAGGGTGTGACAAAGAAAGGGACACTGTATGACATGTTGTCTACTGACCTCAACTTAGCGGTGGACAGAGATAGACCATAATGCTATCAGTCATCGCTGGAGAGGTCGGTGAAAGACTCACACTTCCTCTGAAGCAAACATTTGAACAGTTACCAGGCATTGATTCTGGCACTCGTATATGCGCGCTTATATGGATGTAGGAAAGTTATAGCAACAAGACCATTGCGAGTGCAGCTAGGTGATGAGAATACTAGGGCTGCTTTCAGCGAGAAACTGGCTAGACAGTTGTCGGAACAGAACAACACAGAAGAAGGTTAGAGCCATCCCCAATCTTCTCAAAAGCTGCGTCAAAGAATATAGTCGACTCTGAGAAGGTAGTTAGAGAAGACCAGTGAATGTCAGCAGCTTCTTTTGAATCAATTGACGCATGTGAACACAATATTGCAGACTCCGAACACAATGGTGATTGCAAGCAAATCAAAAGCGACCTGATAAAGAGTACTCACAACAATGGCTTTCTGTGAGCGGTCTAGTGTCATGGGCACTATTAGCACAGCACATTGTTTCAAATTAGTAATTCTGTTTAGCTCTCTAAAATCCACACAGGAACTGTATTTCCGGTTCAGCTTCCTCACTAAGAACACAAGTGAGCTCTACGGTTTATTGACTTTTTCAATTGCATAATCACTTAACATCTGAATCTGTCGTTCTACTTTTCTTGTAAGTGAAGATGAACATGATAAGTTGAAAATATCATCCGTTTGTAACGTTTAACGGTATTTCATGTACTACCTTGTCACAGTATCCATATAGTTCTTCATCTCTAGTGATTACACTCTCATATTCCGTAGTCAACTTAGTGATAGAAAGTGCTACTTTCTGTGGTACTTCCATTACCTC